AAACATTAAACCGCGACTCGCATCGGAGAAGCTGCCGCACCTGAGAGCTTCGCTGCCGGTAAGTCTCGGTTTTTCGTGATTTTTTGGCCCACCGAGGGCCCTAGGGTTGTTTTATCGCAGGAACCAATGCAAGTTTGGCCAAATTCGGCCAAAAACGGCCAACCCGAAGCTTATCGCCGCTGCGGGCGGTGGTGCCGTCGCCGAAGCACGGCGGAGCCGCCGTGTCGGAATTCTAATATTGGCCGAAAAGGGTCCCTGGGTCAGATTTGAGATTTTTTAGGACACGTGCAGGTACCGGTAGTGCATTTCAATTTTTCAGAAAAAATTCATGAAATTTAGGGACAGCCCATAGGCATATTGTAGAACTGATTTCAGACTTCGAAACAAGTAAGGATTTCTCACTCTATTTCCTATCACGGTATTAAAGCTCAATAAATAATAAAACGACATTTCATGAATTAATACATGTATATAATGAATTAATGTTACTAATGGAGCCCGAATCTGATGTATTTTTCGGTCAGTTGTTGTTTGATCTATTTTTCAGCTTTAAATGTAGTATGGTATTTGATGTATTTATTTTATGATTTCGTATGCATGAATCATAGTTTCTTTTATTATGGTTTGAATTATGGTGAACCCGATGTTGTGTTGTTTGTTTGGTATCCATTACTAGTTTACGTGTTTATGTTTGATTTGATAATTGAGACCAAGGAAAATGAAAAAAGGTTATGTGAATTGATAAATGGATAATGTGGACAACTTTACTAGATATCTTGGGAGATGGTGGACAGACCGGGTCCGTAGGGAACCGTACCGGGAACGTAGTCTCTCATATCAGACGGGGTATGGAGACCTTATGTGTTTTGGCGCCCATACCGGACGGGGTATGGGAACGACCCATTTCAACCTCATACCGGACGGGGTATGGGAACGACCCATTTCAACCTCATACCGGACGGGGTATGGGGACGGCCTATTTCACCTTCATACCGGACGGGGTATTGAGGTTCATGGTTTTGGCGCCCATACTGGACGAGGTATTGGGACGGCCCGAGAATTAGATTATTAATGTTAATGGTTCACGTGTAGCAGGAATCCCCTATGGATCCCCATAAATACTAGTAGGCTAGTAAAATAGGAGAATTGTTGTCTGATTATTGAAGTACAAAAGTATAACATGTGTTATGTTATAAAGTGTATATGATTTTATAATGGTTATAATGTTATTGTTCTCATATGTTATTTTCATGAATCTCACCGAGGTAAGTGGACAGTAAAGGTTTTTATTATTAATAAATGGGTTTGTTATAAATTATGCTCCATTGATCATTTTTGTTTTCTACCAACCTTTTACTTCTGTGATAGTGAGATAGTGTGATGTCTTTACTAGGCTAGTGTAGCTCATTCCTTACTTAATTATTTCAGATCAGGAAGACGTGGTTCCCGAGCCCGTTCCGCAGGAAGATGGCGAGTTAGACGCCTACAGATTTTATAGTTCTATTTATAGTTTTTATTTCGAGTATTTCTTTTAATTAGCGTATTCTTTCATACGTTGGATACGTTTTTGGTTATTGTATAAGGGAATCAGAATTTTTATTTCGCTTCCACACTTAGAACTTTTAATACATATATATTCATTTAAATTTTTGGGGCTGTTACAATAGGGGTGTCCCCGCTACACATGAACTATTTTCTTTAACAATCTTAATTCCAGGGTCGTCCCCATACCCCATCCGGTATGAGTGCTAAGACATTAAATCTCAATACCCCGTCCGCTATGAGCACCAAATGACCAAGTCTCCATATCTCGTCCGGTATGAGACAACGTTCACAGTAGGGTTCCCTGTGAACCTGGTCCGTCCACTATCTCTAAAGATATCTAGTGAGGCTGTCATCTTATCTGTTTATTAGGTCACATCCCTCTCCTGTTTATCTTTTATATTCGTTACCAAATTAAACACAATCACATGAATAATGAACATGCACCTAGTAATACAATCATATCTTAAATCCCAATATCACACAGTAGTCAAGTAATACAGTAATACATGCATTAAAAATTATAGAATAGATAAACTAGATACTATCATGCATTTAAACTGTAAAATAAATCAACAGGAATCAACAGAAAACAATGTTCGATTTCGGACTCCTTTAGCAATCCGTAATTAATTATACATATTTATCTAACTCGTACAAAGGACCGTTTTATTATTTATTCAAACTTCACATCTATGATAGGAAATAGGGTGAGGAGTTCGTACTTGATTTGACACCAAAAACTAAATGGTTACTGCCCCTACGGGCGGTCTCTGGGTTTCATGAATTTTCTTTTGGGTACTAAAACGCGCTTACGGTACCTATACATCTCCTAAATAACTCAAAAATTATACCTAGGGCCTACTCGACCAATTTTGAAATTCCGGCACGGTGGTTTCTCTGTGCTCCGGTGACGGCGCTGCCGCCCACGGCGGTAACCTGCCTTGGGTTAGCTGATTTCGGCTGTTTTCGGTCGAATTCAGCCGAACTTACATTGGTTCCTGCGAGAAAACACACTTAGGGCCATCGGTGGGCCAAAAAAACGTAGAAAACCAAAACTCACCGGCGGTGTGGCTCTCCGGTGAGTTGGGTGTTTTGCTTCGATCAACCTCGTTTGGCGGTCAAAAATCACTCCGATGCGGCGGCAGGTGGTGGCGGTTGGCTCCCCGGTGACTGGGTTGTCTTCTCCGGTGAGGGGCTCTGGCAACTAGGGTTAGGGTTTGGGTGCTGATGGAGTTATTTATACCCATCTACTTTTGATCTGGGCCGTCCATCGCTTTTAATCTGGATCGTCTGATCGCGATTAAATAGGGAGTGAATCTGAGCCGTTCATCGCGATTTAATTTGAGTCGTCCGTGTTTGATCCAATCTGGGCCGTCCGTGCGCGTTTTGAATCTGAATCGTCCGTGCACGTAT